ACAAACTTCAGAAACTCAAAACAAACTTCAGAAAGTCAGAATGAACTTCAGAAACTCAGAACGAACTTCAGAAACTCAGAACGAACTTCGGAAACTCAAACTTCAGAAACTCAAACTTCAGAAATTCAAACTTCAGAAACTCCAGAAACTCAGAACAAACTTCAGAAACTCAGAACAAACTTCAGAAACTCAGTACAAACTTCAGAAACTCAAAACCAACTTCAGAAAGTCAGAATGAACTTCAGAAACTCAGAACGAACTTCGGAAACTCAAACTTCACAAACTCAAACTTCAGAAACTCAAAACTTCAGAAACTCAAACTTCAGAAACTCAAAACTTCAGAAACTCAGAACAAACTTCAGAAACTCAAACTTCAGAAACTCAGAACAAACTTCAGAAACTCAGAACAAACTTCAGAAAGTCAGAACAAACTTCAGAAACTCAAACTTCAGAAACTCAAACTTCAGAAACTCAAACTTCAGAAACTCAAAACTTCAGAAACTCAGAACAAACTTCAGAAACTCAAACTTCAGAAACTCAAAACAAACTTCAGAAACTCAAAATAAACTTCAGAAACTCAAAACAAACTTCAGAAACTCAAACTTCAGAAATTCAAACTTCAGAAACTCAAAACTTCAGAAACTCAAAACAAACTTCAGAAAGTCAGAACAAACTTCAGAAACTCAAAACAAACTTCAGAAACTCAGAACTTCAGAAACTCAAAACTTCAGAAACTCAAAACAAACTTCAGAAACTCAGAACAAACTTCAGAAACTCAAAACAAACTTCAGAAAATCAGCCCTGCTCCTCCAGGGAGTCTCAGCACAGAAAAATCAAACACTGAAACAGCTCAGGTGAAGGTGGAAAAAAAAAAGGAGAGGGGGATTTTCAGGATGTTTGATTGAACTCACCTTTCGAAGAATGTCTTCTGCTAATGTGAGGAATGCCTTCTCAATGTTTATATTTGCTTTTGCGCTAGTTTCGAAAAACCTAATACCGTGCTCCCTGGCAATCTGCAGCAAAAACAGAGAGAGGGAGGTTAAAAATCCTGGGATATTCCAGTGATCCTGGGGGTACTGCATAGATCCCGGGGATATTCCAGAGATCCTGGGGATATTCCAGTGATTCTGGGATATTCCAGAGATCCTGGGGCTATTCCAGAGATCCTGGGGCTATTCCAGTGATCCTGGGAATATTCCACAGATCCTGGGGCTATTCAAGAGATCCTGAGGATATTCCAGAGATCCCGGGGATATTCCAGAGATCCTGCAACATTCCAGTGATCCTGGGAATATTCCAGAGATCCTGAGGATATTCCAGAGATCCTGGGGTTATTCCAGTGATCCTGGGGCTATTCCAGTAATCCTGGGAATATTCCAGAGATCCTGAGGTTATTCCAGAGATCCTGAGGATATTCCAGAGATCCCGGGGATATTCCAGAGATCCTGCAACATTCCAGTAATCCTGGGGATATTCCACAGATCCTGGGGTTATTCCAGTGATCCTGGGGCTATTCCAGTGMCGGGCACATCCCAAGGGACCATCCCAACCCCGTGGAGCTGGTGAGGAATCCCAGCAGTGATTTGCTGACTTGGATAAAGAAGGTTTTGTTTGACACTCACCTGTTCACCTTTTGCTTTAGGGACAACTCTTTTATCTTCCATGTCACACTTGTTTCCTAACAGCATTCTCTCCACATCCTCGTTGGCGTGCTGGAAGGACACAGGGATGGGGCACAGGGTTACAAATGTCCCCAAAACACCCCAAATCTCTGCTTTACTGGTGTGGCACAGCTGAGGGGACACAGGACACCCCAGACCAGGGCAGTGCCCAAGGTTGGACAGGGCTTGGAACATCCTGGGATAGTGAAAGTTCCCTGGCCATGGCAGAGGGTGGGAATGGGATGGGTTTTAAGGTCCCCTTCTCAYCCAAACCATTCTRGGACTCTATGAAGGAATTTAGGAGAGTTTAATCCTTTAATTRATGCTTTTYCTAGCACATCCCGGAAACAGAAGGATTCTTTCCTTCACTCTGGGCATGCTTTGGGTCACCACAAGCTCAGATTTGGGATCTGTCCCTCACCTCATCGATGTTCCTGAGCCACTTGCTGATGTTCTCGAAGCTCTTGGCGTTGGTGATGTCGTAGACCAGCATGATGCCCATGGCCCCTCGGTAGTAGGAGGTGGTGATGGTGTGGAATCGCTCCTGGCCCGCCGTGTCCCTGCGGGGAACATCACAATTCTGTCACAGAGCAGCTCTAAGGGATGAGGAGCAATGGGATGGATCCAAGGGAGTCTGGAACCACAGCCCAACCATCCCAAAACCAYCCCATAGTAGCCCACAGKGTCCTTTCCATGCCAACAGCTGCCATGAACACAACCATTCAACCAAACACTGAGAGAGGAATTTTGTTCTCAGAACAGTTTTATAAAGCTTTAAGTTGATCTGACAAATTGCTGACATTTTTGATCAAAGTCTGTGGAACAGCAGCAAGCTGTGCTGTGCTGTTAAATGTTGGTGTCTATAAGAAATGTGCTGAAAATTCATCAGTCTGGAGTCCCCCATCTCCTTCTGGGATTTTTGGTGGGATGGATGAGATGTGGTTAAACCTATATGGCACTAAGGTGAGAATGAGCAGCATATTGAGAATTAATTGAGAATAGTAAAGAAGAATTAACTGCACATTCTTTCAGAGGCCATAAACCCAAGAGACTGCAGGCTTACAGATGGTTTTCAGTGACATTGGTCACATCAGAAGGACATGGACCTGTAGGAGGACATGGAGATGCTCTGGAGCCAGGCTGGGAGARCTGGAGAAGAGAAGGATCCAGAGAGAGCTCAGAACCTCTGGCAGGGCCTAAAGGGGCTCCAGGAGAGCTGGAGAGGGACTGGGGACAAGGGATGGAGGGACAGGACACAGGAAATGGGGTCACAGTGGAAAAGGGGAGATTTGGGTGGGATTTTGGGCAGGAATTGTTCCCTGGAGGGTGG